AATTTAGAATATAAATAAAAATGTCAAATAGGTACTGCATTATTGTCGGATACAAACTTAATATATTTTCAAAAAAACTACCACATTTGACACACAATGAATTCCACACGATATGCAATATTGTTTGTGGAGTATACACAGAGTCCTCAAAAAGTCCATGTATGTTTATATTTTTAACCATTGCTGATAGTAAATTGAAGCTTTTATCATATCATCCCTAAAAATCTACTTTTTGGTGCAAATATATATTTGTCATCTTACTGGGACGATCTACGAGGAGTCAGAAGGAAATCTTAAATGATGGCATAGTTTGAGTAGTGCCGTTACCTAGTATAGTCAATGGTTGTACATTATCTGAATGGGTTGGGAGAAAACAGTGCCGCAAAATAGACACAAACACTTGAATCCTAGCAAAAACAGTGCGTTGGTAGTTTAAAAACTACAAGGAATATTAAAAGTAACAGGCGCTGTTTGGCTGGGAAGAACCTTCTTGGGTGTCAAGTTCAACACTTCACTGTGTTATGCTATCATATACTGTATTTCCTTCCGACTTGTTGTGAACCATGCCCAGTACTGTGAGATGAAATATTTTTTTGATTAAAAAATAGGTATTTATGTATTTACGTACTAGCAGAGTACCCGTCCTTCGTACGGGGTTGGAATATAAGTATAAAATGCTTATTGCAGTTATACTCAAGCTTTGCGTTTGCATTAAGGGAGGACACAGTTTGATAAAATTTACTTTTTTTTAATTTACAGTATTCTATAGTATTACACATCTACCATAGCCATAATGTTCTACCACTTCACCTAAACAATAGAAAAAAATAAATTATCAACAATTTGCAAAATATCACAAATTATTCATGAAATGAAAAACATAAACATAACTGTAAACAGTCCTACTTTGACAGTTCTCATTGCGAATCACAGTTTTTTGTTGCTGCTTAGTTAAAATTATCTGTTTTCATAAATGCAAAAGTGCTGCACCCTGTTGGTAAATCTTATAACTTTTTAATGCTTTTCCAATATCATAGAACCAACTTTTTTAGTTGAAACAGTTGACTAAATTCTTTAATTCCCTTTAAATATGAATACTCATAAGGTTAACATGAGGAATTACAGAGCCACTGGGGCGGAGCCCGAAAGGATTTTTGAGATAAGAATATGCCTATATGTTAATCGGGAATGTAAGCTATCATCATGCTAAATTTCAGCCCAATCCCTCCAGTGGTTTATGCGTGATTGAACTTCAAACACACAAACAAACAACAGTAAGATATGCATTTAGTAGGTAACATGCAGACGAAATTAGACCGACATGTGCTTTCAGATGTTAACACTATGGATCCAGGAAAAAGAACGCGAGGTGGAAGAAATCCAACAGAGCAAATGGTCATTGCTAAAATTCACCCTGTCTATAGTAGTAGTAGTTCCTGTTGACTCTTATTTTATATAGGCCACGTGATAAATCTATCTATATATTAATAGGCAAGCACGTTTCTTTAAAACCTTTTTTCTCAGCTCGTGTGAATCGTAGGGAAAATCTACGCATACCGTTGGAAAGCTATTTTCCTGTAGGTGTGCAGAATCCCTTTATAAATTTAAATAGGCTCAAAGATAAGCACAAAAAATGAGTTTAAAAATTTGAAAAAATTAACATGGATCTTATGCGTTGCTATGCTGGTTACGAAATAACAACGAAATATAAACAGAAAATCAAAACAAATGGAGGAAACTCCAATCACATGTTTTATTTACAGTGTGGGGTGAAAATAGATAAGTGAGTACATTACATATTTTTGGTCGAGTTTCGACCACTGGACGACCTCTCGTATATCTTAAATTACACACCTTGCCTAGTCCAATGAAACATTTGTTTGTCAATCTGAAAAACAGAAGAAGGGTTTTTATACTGAAGAGTCTAAAGAAAAATATAACTAGATGTTTTGATATTTTTTAAACAGATAAATTAATTTTACAATGATATCCGTATTGATAATGTTATGAATACATTAATTGATTTACCAGTAGATGGCACTATTGAAGAACAAGTTTCAACGATAAAGATGTTTAGTGAACTACACAAATTGTTGATCGGTAGAATTCTAAGTTATCAATAGTTGGAACTGTACCGCCCCGCCCTGTCCTAGAAAAAGTGTATATGTCACCCCAGAGGTGTTAAGCTTAATATAAATACAGGTCTATGATAATACAATAGCTATATTGACATTATTGTGTTTTTAACCGACTTCCCCACTACCAACAAAAGGAGGAGGTTCTCAATTTGTTTGTGGCGATGTTTTTTTTTTCTATGTATGTTCACCAATTTCTCTGTGATTCTTTTACCGATCAGTGTGGTTCCACCACCAAAATAACCAGGAGAGTTTCTATTTGGTACCTTATATATTATGTTTAAGTATAATATTTGTTTCGGTGAAAAATTCTGAAAACCTTAAATATTCAACATTTATTTTGTTTACATTTGTGCAGATTGTTTACATTTGTGCAGAGAAGGCAATAAATAATAATAACATTCCTACAGCTGTTAGTTGAAACCATTTAAATGAAGCTACAGACATTTCTTCATGAAACAGTTGCTTCATATTGATCAATAAACTATTTCTTGCCATGGAGCCTAAATGAATTACATTGAGAAAAATGCATTTTGTTTTGGTTACTATAAAAAATGTATTTTATCGTTTGACCTGATTTGTGTATACAGTAATTCTGTTTTTATCAGTATTGAATATTCTGACTTACAAAAACATATATGTTTCAGTGAATAGCTGTATGATATTGACAAATAAAGGTGTAATGTGAAAACCAATTCATTCGTAAAACAGGTCTAAATTTTAATTAAATGCAATTATTCCTTACACGACCTAAGAAGTGTGACAGTGCATAATCGTCAACTGTCTTAAAAGTGTTAAATATTTTAATTACTAAACCTGCATTTGCAGATGTGGAATGTTTATTGATATTCTCTACACAAGTTACTATATCATACCAATACTATTACCGGTATGCCTGCTTCGGAAAGTCCTAGAGGAAGATGATTTGCAATTTCGACTAGGCTATATCTTGATCAAACAAAACCACCTACATGGCTTGCACCACCTTTAGCTGATCTTTCATATACATATTTCATTTGCAGATGTGGAATGTTTATTTATATTCTCTACCCAGTTACTATAACATATCAATACTATTATGCCTGCTTCGGAAAGACCTAGAGTAAGATGATTTGCAATTTCGACTAGGCTATATCTTGAGCAAACAAACCCCCCTACATGACTTTAGTAGTACATTTTCTGTGCTTTAGCTGAACCAATCTTTCATATAGTATTTTCCAAAGGTACTATACGTGTTAACGACCAATTTTCCACTTTTGAGAGATTTTTTAGTGCTGGTGGCTGAGGAATAACTTTCATATTGTTCCTAAATACTTGAGACGTTACTGTATTTCTTTTTATAATGTAGAAGTACACCGATTGCAGGAAACGATGATGTCTGACATTTCAATGTATCTAGAAAAGACAATTAGTTTTTCATTAGGCCTAATGTAATGGACAACTCTTTTTTTCTTAAGGAATATCTAAAAATATTTATTTTCATACCCATTGATTATGTAACCTGAACAGGTGACTCAAGCAGTTTTAAAATAATATGATTGTTCTGTGGAACTTTTGATTGTTTCAAACAGTTTTGCTTATCAAAAAACCTCAAGTAATTAATACAAAAAAAATTATACAGTCACTAAAAATCATGAAATAATTTATTTTTGTAAAAAAATACAACCGACTTCAAACGCTCTAAAAAGAATGAAATAATTTCAATAAAGTAAACTTTTGTTTTAGGCAAGCTCACGTATTTCAAGTCGGCGTGGCTCAAACTGAAAAAAATATGATTGAAATTAAATATTGTGTGTGTATTTTGAAAATCAATAAATTGTAGCTGGATAACATAGATATATAAAAAACATACTGAACTGTTTTGTTTATATATTAAAGGAAATATTTTCTGTTTACTTCAGAATAAATGCATTATGAAAATAACCCACACAAATGTTCTATATGAATAGGAAAATAATTTAGTTTGATATTATGATAGGGAAAAGAAGCTAGTTTAGTATTAAAACGTTACTTTTCCAAGTTAGAAACATTTAAATGCGTTATAATCTTTTTAAAGATACTCGTTAATACCACTATTATGCCGATCTCTGATTACGGTATAAATAACACTTAACGCATAACTATGAAAAAGACATGCAGATTTAGTTATAGATAGACACCTGCAATATGGACACCCTCTTTCAATTTTGTATCAAAAATCATCATAGAGCCGCGCCGACTTAAAATACGTGAGCTTGCCTAAAACAAAAGTTTACTTTATTGAAATTATTTCATTCTTTTTAGAGCGTTTGAAGTCGGTTGTATTTTTTTACAAAAATAAATTATTACTCCCCTTTATTGGGAAAAAACTATTTTATTGTAACTATTTTAATCAACCCAATGGTTTATATATCCACAAATATTGTCTCCATTTAAAATTTAGATATAAAGAATTCTGAAGCTTGATTAATGACGAGGGTCAATGAAAATATAATGCCCTGTTAATTCCGCTCAATTTTTTGGACTCGTCTATGAACGTCACCTCGTATAAATCGTTATCAATAGGCTAGTGTTTAAGAAACAGTTTAATGAAAATTTAATAACTTAAAAACTAAAAACAGAGCGTTCCCATTTCTGTATAACAAAAACAAATAAGAGGCGGGATTGCTAGGGATGTTCCGTATGAATATTCTGTTACAAATACAGAGAACCATGTTGAAGATACACTTATCATGCATCGTATTTTCCATCAACACCAAAAATAAGTATATTTGTAGAGATATACCTTTGATATACTTGGTATCTTCGTTGTAAACTATAATGGTATTGCACTTGTTTACAATAAAAACAAAATGCTATCACAAATAACCATGTATTGTTATGCAGGTGCTAAGGATATTAACGCTGTCGGCGTTGGTCGCAGTGTGTTGGTGTGAAGACGTCTCCACCGCCGCCCCCACTGCCAACTCCAGCGTCCCCGTCCCCGACCCTGCCAAGACGACGTCCACTGACGACGCCACCACCAACAGGACGCGGCGCTCTGACGTCATCGGCCTCTTCAACTCCAAGCTGCACAAGAAGTTCTCGTTGTTGGGCTCCTTGAGTTCGCTCAGTTCCTCCCATCCTCATATACCCGCAACTGCCCCAGACTGTCACAGCCATACTCTAACTGTGAGTTACAGTACCTAGCCACTTATTTGGTCGCCATTCAACTCTGTGGTTCAATAAGTTAGCAAAATTGTTTTTTGACTTGACAGAGGAATGTTGCACAAAACCTTCTAAAAATATTTTATCAGAACTATTCAAATAAAAAAAAATACATATTAAGTTGAAAATAATTACAATGTCAACAAACCATAGGCTCTAATTACAATAAGTGAGGTAATTAACCAGGTACTTATGCAAGAACCACGGACGATCGTACGATAGATAGATAACTGAGACTAGAGACTAGAGTATTTACATTGCAGGTGCCCGGGGCCTCTACTTGTACTGTGTAGGAGATGATGGGAGGCGGTCCCTGTTCCTGATGTGTTATTTACCGCCCAGACTTGTATAACAATGACGTGATAGATGGCTTCATCTAGGCCTCGTGTTGTGAAGACCTCGGCTGAGTGCAAGGGAGAAATCTTGATGATTCTTTCTCCTGCAGCCGTAGACGCTGTAATTGGGATAACTACAAGTTCCGCGATGTTCGCTTCATTGTTAAAAAGTGTTTGGTTCGGATTAGTGAGGCATACAGATGGTTGTGTAATTTCCCTTTTGATGAATATTTGTAGGAAAAGGTGTTCAATGATCTTTTTCATTATATATATTTACCAAATTGATTCTCTGAATTCAAATTTAACTATAAACTATATAATTGGGGTAATAAAGCTGTATCCAACTTATTACAACCAAGCTCATCAACATATTTTCACTTCCCTCCAAAAATGTCATGATTACGATTACATGTCTCAAACCCCTTATAATTGATGGGAAATACTTTGTAGGATCAATGATTTCTTGTTTCACGAGCAAAATTATTTCTTCTTTCAAAAGGTGTTTGTGACTTAAGACTGCATGAAAATCCAATCTGGTACTTTACATCCCTTTAAAAAATTAGTGAAATGGAAAATCGTCATTATAAGGTGTATTTTTGAAGAATTATCTGGTAAAATAAGTTTCGCAGCATGGAGTGCTGTTACATTCTTAGAATGCATAAAATTTCTCTTAAAAACGAAATAACTACAATTAATGTTCCAGTATGACCACAAAGCCTTCAGTTTGTGGAGTTTTAAGAAGGCAATATTCTCGACGCTGCTTCAGGCCATCAAGGCCATCACCGGAGGAGTGATCGCCCTGAAGGGTCAGATAATCAAGGTGAAAGGTCACCTGATAGCGGCCAAGGGCCACTTGCTGCAGACCAAGGGGGAGGCCATCTCAGACTTCGGTCGCCACATTGCCACCAAGGCGCTGCTCTCGCCAGTGCACGTTCCTCCGTCTGCCACTGGGCTCAGCGCTACTGGTAACCTGAAAGAAATTAATATGTCTAATGCTTGAATATAGGAATGACTAAATTTTTATTTACTTATTAGGATATAAATTTGTTTCTCCACTTAAATAAATCACCAGTTACTGGTGAACCAGTTACTGGTGATTTATTTAAGTGGAGAAACAAATTTATATCCTAATAAGTAAATAAAAATTAGGATATAAATTTGTTTCTCCACTTAAATAAATCACCAGTAACTGGTTCACCAGTAACTGGTGATTTATTTAAGTGGAGAAACAAATTTATATCCTAGTAACTGTTACCATCTTATAATAAGTTACCTTGTAGATTGTTTTATTTATTTATTTATTTTTTTTTTTGAGGTTGGTGGGGTTTTCACCTTGCATTGCCCGTCCACATCGGCCACAGAGGCATGTGCGTAGAGTTTGTCCAGAAAACCATGGGGTGAGCCGGTTCAATACGAGGGTGAACTGTACTGAGATAAACAGTAGTGGCAGGGCTACCGACTGAGCCCAGACTTGATGTTGATGACTGACCACAGCTTCCTGTGGCTTCACGTTGACAACTTATATACCATTCAGAAACAACTCATAACAACGGCAAAATCCACAAAATTAGGTATTGCGCAAAATTACAACCAACACCCGCAGTTGTAGCAGAGAAATCATGAACGCGCCAAGTCTCTGACCTTAGCGGGTCCAAGGTTACTTTCTCCGGGAACTGCCCGGACGGGTTTCCTGTTTCCTGTGGTCGGGTAGCCAGCCCCATTGGATGAAAGTGAAGCTAGAGGTTGCATCATAAAGAGCGTCCTCTGTGGTGGCTGGGCTGGGGTTACCTCACTGTCAGGGCTGTGATGCGACCTTGACAATGACAACTGATTTCTTGAAAATGGGTTGTGATTCTGAAGGAGAACTACTCTTGGAGCGTAAAAGGGACGAAGATGCAATGATTCGATTGTAAGAGCTTACTAAACTGTCCAGGGTAGCATATGTCATTGTTAAATTATCAAACACCAACTGTAGATTCCCAAATTGTTAACTTTATCTATAAAGCATGTTTAAATAGTTTTAGTGATACAGCAATTTTAGACTAAATTCACGTGTAAACTGATTTGTAGGCATAGGCAGTACTGGGTACGCCGCTCACAAACCCATCTACGGGCCTCCTTCAGCTTCAGGTCCTGGGACAGGCTACGGAGCGCCACCTAAACCTGTGTACGGACCTCCTCCTTTCGCCAAACTACCTCCCTCGTCGTACGGTCCTCCGCCGGCGCCCTCCAGTAGCTACGGCGCTCCTTCTGCTCCGTCGGCGCCAGCACCGTCTCCTCCTACTAGTAATTACGGCGCGCCACCTCCCCCTGTGCCGTCTACTTCCTACGGTGTTCCTGTAGCCTCCGCCCCAGCACCTTCAGGAGGCGGAGACTACAGCGGCCCCCCGCCACCCTCTAGCTCAGGGTCCTCGAGTATCTTCCTCCCCCCATCTTTTCCGTCCTCACCAGGCTTCAGCGCTCCCTCAACGGGGTATGGCTCTCCTTACAAGAGAGACATTAAATGTAAGTACTGATTATAACATTTTAGACTATTTTGCATTGTATGCAAAGTATCCTAAATAACTGTAAAATACCTCAAAAAGTAATAATAAGTCCATTAGAATTTAGTTATAAGTGATATTGGGTACAATTGCAGCTAATGCATATTTGAGACTGAATTTACATTAAAAACCTAGTTAATAACCCACAACCTTACACTGTTTGTGGGAACAAGAATCCTCAGACATCTCCTTCACTTCGAGATCATCGAGGTTAGGTTACAACAGTTAGATCAATTTGTGTCCTAAATGATTATCGATACGCGCCTAAATGTTTTAACTTGTAGATGCCTAGATAGTTATGTGGTTAATAGGACAAAGGAGGTTAAGAACATAGCATTATAACTATAAATAAAAACAGTGAAGTTCACGTTATATTCAATATTAAATCATGAAAAGGGAAAAATGACAAAAGTTGATCAACATTTGTGTCTAATCAGCCGTATAACATTCACCGACTGTGTTAACGTATAACGTATAACGTATAACGTTCCTTGAACTGAATGTTACTGATACACATACAGCGGATCAGCTGGTGGATGGTAGCGGGTGCGGGAAGGAATGCAGGTTTCTCTCCAATGCCACGGCCACGGCTGGGAGATCTCACGCGCTACGGCCAGACTAGTTAACTGTACTTCCTGCAACAATAATCACTCCTTGCTACAACGTATGTATTATATATGTAGTTGATTATCATGTCCGCTGGGCGCTGATGACTTTCACGTTAGGTAGTATAATTAATTTACGAACTTGTAATCGAGTCTTCATATGATCACTTGAATGACTTGATCGATGAATGGTTGGTGGGGTGGGGTGGGGGTTTGCTATTAATATATTAGGCGTTGAATGCGTGAATTATTTTCTCGAATTTGATTTAAATTTTGCTAATCCATCCTTGTTTCACCACTTACTTTAATTGATTGATAAAAGAAACCCATTCATTTCAAAGCACCATAAGAGTCATATATTTGCAATACGGTACGGTATTTGATAGATCAATAAAAAATACATATAATATGAATTGCTAAAAGTGAATCATACAGAAAAAACAAAGAAGCAGAAAAACTCTGACCAACCAAATTACATAAAATAATCGAAATTTGTTCGTAGTAAAAGATCCACGATCAAAATAGCCACATTCATAACCTTATCATTACCATAGGCTATCTAGAACTTTTCATTAAAAATCCTTAGGTTGGTTCCTACAAATTTCACTAAAACTGATCAAATCGTAAGATTAAGAAAAAAATCAAATGTTGTTAAATACGAAAAATCTAACAACCAGTTTACAGTGTTTACGAGTTATATATTATTGTTTTCCGTTACGATAACATGAGGGAAACGCGCCACATAAAAACTACATTGAAATAAAATTTTGTAGACGAATGATACAAATATATAGATTTACTAAATCATTTGCCCTCGAGTACCTACATAATGTGAATGCTTACATGTTTGTAATGTTTTAAATGTTGGACGAAAAGTAAAAATAAAATGGTTTATTGTGGTACGATTTGTCGAACTTTTATGAATTTGACCGCAAAAGGTATCCAATCTTGAACTGAATGTTACCAAGAAATAAAGTCTGCTACATTGGGAAATCTTGAAGTAGGTTTTATGATGGAACTCTGGGAACCGTAATTTAAATTGTGTTACTGCAAATTTAAAATTTTATTATAAGACAATATTCCATGGAATTCCTATTATATAAGCCTATTGCATTGAATAGTTATTTGTGCAACTAGTGAGAAAAGTGAGCAATTGACGACGTTGCCTGCATGTTACGCGCTTACTATTTCGTGCCTTCACGTTGAAAATCTGGAGTGAGACAAAGTAATTAGAGTGAGACAATGTTAACATTGTCTCACTGATGAGCGAATTGGCCAATTTGCTTTCTCAAATCAGTGAGAGAACATGTACATTGTACATTGTTAGGTAACTGTAGGAAAAATTATTTGTATTTACCACTTGGTTTATTATACTGTTTACTACTGACAAGTAACAAAGTTATAATTGATATATTGTCTTGTCCACCTGAGCCGTTCTGGGCCACGACACGGGCGGGCCGCAACGGTCTGTTTGGCCGACTGCTTTGGATTTCTTTCTCCTAGTTTACAAAGATAATTGTTTCAGGAAGGAAATAGATTCTTAGACTAATGGCTCAGAGCTGACAGTTCAAAGAAGACAAGAAAGTAGCTTATGCGTATGAGAACTATACTGCCTCGTAATCTGTTTGTGGCAGAGCGAGATTTGCACACGTAAATTGCTCTTCTTTTTTTTATCATCAACACTTTGACTATGTTATGACATTAGTTTTTTTTGTAGACTGGATTTTCAATATTGAGATCTGAAATCAAGGGAAATAGTTTCTGAAATAGAAATATAAAAAAATTCTACCACATATTTTGAATACTCCCATGTATTCACATTATAAAGGAATCTGCAAAACAGCCCCACAGGTGATTTAAAAAAAAAAACTTAGCCAAATCACTAATGTACTTCAATACAATCTATGTCTGTGTGTTTGTAAAATATATCTCGCAATTCAGTGGAATTATTTTGCCTAAAGTTTGGAGTGACTTAGGCCTAAACACTCGGCGAAAGCCACTACTTCAGGATAAATCATATGTCGATACGCAACTCGTTTGAAAATTAAAAATATAACCCAAGTAGCCATGATGGTTATATAAAATAACCAGAAATAAAAAAACAAAAAACTTATAAATTAAGTTTATAAAAGTTACTGTACAGTATACTAGCAAATTACAAAATACAACATAACGGGGGAAAGCTTAATTTTTGCCATAGAATTAAACTATCCATATTGAACTTTTGGACAAAGATTAGTAAGAAAGAAGATTACTCGACATTGGGGGAAATAATTCTGTTTGAATGCTGAATGTTTTACTTAATCCCCAAAACAAAACAAAAATGTTTACCACATTTTAGTTCAACAGTGAAATAAATTATATTAATTAGAATTTAAGCAAACATCAAGTCCTTGGAGGCTAGCGGCCATCTTGGATAATTTCAAACAGCCACTGAAGGGTTTATTTATTGTCCAAAAATATTTTTTCTAACACCAAATTGATCATAATTTAAATTTCTAGTATACTGTGGGATTAGAAATGTTCTACAAAGGAGTCCATGGAAGCTAGCAGCCATCTTGGATTTGTCCGCCATAAGAGCAATGTTAATTTCATTAATTTCAAACCGCCACTGAAGAGTTATTTACCATCTAAAAATAATTTTTCAAACACCGGAGTGATGGTAATTTAAATATCTAGTATACCATTTGTTTAGCGAGTTAAAAGGTCTAGTCTCCAAGGACTTTCTGGAGCCTCTTTTTGATGCATGTTTCGTGTTAGTGACGTTTGAGTGCACTGGCGTCATCATAATGTTCCTCTCTTATTTAAGGGTGGATTTTACAATTATTCATGATGCATACTTTTTGTAATACCAAATACCAAGGAAAATTAATAGTTGGCTTACTGTATAGACGGCTATATTGATTTGTATTAGTATTGAAGTTGGTAAAATAACAAGAATATAATCTATATATATAAAATCCAATGTATGTTTGTTTGTATGCATGTATATTTGTATGTATGTATGTTTGTTTGTCCTTTATGGACTCCGAAACCACTCGACAGATTGTAATATTAATATAAATATTATTTCAGGCATTATTAAGCACTAGCTGTACCCGCGGGCTTCGCCCCGTTTAACTTCATAAGTATTCGCATGGCTCATTCACGTCCTGGTTGAAGTTCGTTCGCTACGCTCACTCACCTTTAGGTTGGAGCTCGTTCGCTGCGCTCACTTGCCTTCAGGTTACCTCGTTCGCTACGCTAACTCGCCTCAAGGTTGAAGTTCGTTCGCTACGCTCACTCACCTTTTTGGTTGGAAATTAGCTGTTGTCATAAATAAAAAAAGAAATTAATAGTGCTGCACCCTGTTGGTAATCCTTGTAACTTTTATGCTGTTGAACATCATAGAACAGAACCAACTTGTTTAATTGAGACAGCTGTTAAGATTCATTAATTCCTTTTAAATATGAAAAATCATAAGATTAACATGGGGAACTACAGAGCCACTGGGGCGGAGCCCGAAAGGGTTTTTGAGATAAGAATATGCTTTAATGTTAATCGGGAATGTGAGCTATCAGCATGCCAAATTTCAGCCCAATCCGTCCAGTAGTTTATGCGTGATTGAGCAACACACACACAAACATACACACAAACATACACACAAACATACACACAAACTCACAAACTTTCAGATTTATAATATTAGTAAGATTATTCAAGGACGGTTTGTGTGAAGTTTGGTGCAGATCGATAGGGGCGGTAAGGGGATAAGGGATAAGCGGATAAGGGGCGGTTAAACAGTTAAACAGCTGATTTTGCAGTGCAGGAAGGTGTCCATAAGTTTGCTAAGCCTAAAGTCTGTTGATGACTTGGCTGCGTCACAAGAGATTAGTTGGCACATTTATCTGCTGAAGTTGCAGTGCCAGGATTTGTTAAACCTGGCGTCTGTTGATGACTTGGCTGCATCACAAGAGATTAGTTGGCACATTTATCTGCTGAAGTTGCAGTGCCAGGATTTGTTAAGCCTGGCGTCTGTTGATGACTTGGCTGTAACACAAGAGATGATTTCTCACATTGATCTGCTGATGTTGCAGTGACAGAAGGTGTCCATGTGTTCGCCAAGTCTAAACTCTGTTGGTGTCACAAGAGATGAGTTCTCACATTGATCTGCTGATGTTGCAGTGACAGAAGGTGTCCATGTGTTCACCAAGTCTAAACTCTGTTGGTGTCACAAGAGATGAGTTCTCACATTGATCTGCTGATGTTGCAGTACCAGAAGGTGTCCATGTGTTCGCCAAGTCTAAACTCTGTTGGTGTCACAAGAGATGAGTTCTCACATTGATCTGCTGATGTTGCAGTACCAGAAGGTGTCCATGTGTTCGCCAAGTCTAAACTCTGTTGGTGTCACAAGAGATGAGTTCTCACATTGATCTGCTGATGTTGCAGTGACAGAAAGTGTCCATGTGTTCGCCAAGTCTAAACTCTGTTGGTGTCACAAGAGATGAGTTCTCACATTGATCTGCTGATGTTGCAGTGACAGAAAGTGTCCATGTGTTCGCCAAGTCTAAACTCTGTTGGTGTCACAAGAGATGAGTTCTCACATTGATCTGCTGATGTTGCAGTGACAGAAGGTGTCCATGTGTTCGCCAAGTCTAAACTCTGTTGGTGTCACAAGAGATGAGTTCTCACATTGATCTGCTGATGTTGCAGTACCAGAAGGTGTCCATATGTTTGCCAAGTCCTAAGAGTCTTCATTAGTGGTAGCCATATTGGATTTTAGTCCCATAAGAGCAATGTCAACTTTATAACAGAATTTCTAAAAACCCTGTTGTGATAAAAATAATGATGAGGTATTAAAATTAAGGTTTAGTGGTCCTCTAGGGAGTAAAAATTCTAGTTTTGCCAGTTTCCCTTTACTTAATAAGTTAATGATAATTAATTAAGCCTTTAAATAAATTATATAATTGAGAAACAACAAAAGCAAATGTTTGAAATATAATTTCCTTATTTCCCTAGTACTCTATGCTATAAACCTAATTATAAATTTTCAAAACTATATCTTTATAAATAACACTGGCATTCTGCTTCAAACAATGGTATGTTCTGTCAAATTTAACCTTGCTCTTATGGGACTAAAATCCAATATGGCTACCACTGATGAAGACTCTTAAGTCTGTTGGTGTCAGAAGAGATGAGTTCTCACATTGATCTGCTGATGTTGCAGTGCCAGAAGGTGTCCATAAGTTTGCTAAGCCTAAGTCTGTTTCTGGCTTGGCTGTGTCACAAGAGATTAGTTCTCACATTGATCTGCTGATGTTGCAGTGCCAGAAGGTGTCCATAAGTTTGCTAAGCCTAAGTCTGTTTCTAGCTTGGCTGTGTCACAAGATATGAGTTATCACATTGATCTGCTGATGTTGCAGTGCCAGAAGGTGTCCATAAGTTTGCTAAGCCCAAGTCTGTTTCTAGCTTGGCTGTGTCACAAGATATGAGTTCTCACATTGATCTGCTAATTTTTCAGTACCTGAAGGTGTTCAGGCCGGTCTGCTGGTCCTCAAGCCAATCAATTTGCCCGCCAGCTCCACCATTGTCCAGGCACTAGACCCCAGACACAGAGTACGCAAACAGGCTCTGCCACCTACCATCTAGTCATCAGCCAGCACATCAGTGAGTACTGTAGATAATAGAGTGTATTTAGAGATAATGTATGATTTAACATAGTTATATAGGTATCCTTGATGACACTCGGACTTGCCCTCCTCCTAAATACAAGAGGTCAACATGACAAGTCCGTTAGTTATCCTGCACGGTTATTCCTCCTAGTCTCATGAAACCCAATAAACTTACTTTTTTTAGTAGACACTCGACTTCGTCTGTATCGTTCAAGACTGTCATCCACTTTAACTTTAGCGAATCCCGGGCATGATAAATCTACAAATAGAATTGCTAGATTCAGGAACCTCTGTCTTCAAGGTTCAACATTCTAATGAATTAGTGTCGTTTTACGACAACATTTTACAGCCTGGTTCCCTTAGTTAAATTTAAGAAATAACTTTAACAGGCTAAGCCTTTGCAACATAATAGAATAATCTTTTAGTTTTGCAAACTTGTTGTAACAAAAAACATATCACTGAGCAATTAGCAATTTCGGGCAACTTTTTTCTACTGTACCAGATATTATGAAAAGGTTTGATCGATTTTTGTTATTTTCATACTTTATATATTTTGTATATACGTACTAAGATGAATCATTTGTAATAAAATATCAGGATTTTGCAGGTACTACCGTGATATATCCATACTATATACAGAACTTGTAACCTTTTACTGCCAAACACTTGAACAGAAAATGTATCAACTACAATAGGGGGTTTGTGTTTACACTGTCAACATTTCTTATAGCTTGTAATACAACTTTAGATTTTCGATAAATTTGGCATACCGGATAGATTAGACTCTCTCTGGGCAATTTGAAAAATCCTAAAACGGTTCCTTTATGCGATATTTCATAATTCCCCCCAACATTATACTTTGAAAGTCCATAGTTGCTGAAAGATTTTTTTTAGCAGTTTAAAAAGAATATGTTTACTTTTCATAATGTAATACATGTCTGTTCTTAATACATTGAATCTGTTCAACAAAATTAGTAGTTCCGTCTCGTTTGTCGGTTTGACCGAAATAAAGATAGACGTTATTTAACGGAGGAGATGCACTTGTAAAGCAACATGATGCAACATGTCAATCAGCGGCTTGGCGTGTGAGCGAGTGAGGTGCAGATATGAAAGTGCAAGACTGTTATTGAGGAAAGCAACTTAGTGAAAGTTGACCTTCCTAGTCATCCACTTCCTAGTCATCGTCCAGCGGTCATGGCCATCCCTTGACATGGGGATTGACAATATTTACAAATGTTCTTAGGTCTATGACACAAAATGATAAAATCATGCGTAGGCCATGTTATTGTGCCGTAGTGGTTGAGAATATAAAGCCATCAGAGACATAGGGAATTAAATTTAGTTTTTTGCTCTATGAATTCAATCTATACTTATAAAAGGCAAAGCCCTCACTGACTCACTAAATCACTGACACACTCACTCACTCATCACTAATTCTCCCACTTCCCATTTACGTAGGAGGCTGAAATTTGGTACATTGATTCTTTAGGCATTAAATTGGAAAACTAAGTTGTTTTTATTCTGATCGGACTCTCGCGCTCCGCCCCAGTGGCTCTAGAGTTTCCCATGTTAGCCTTATGATTTTTCATATTTAAAAGGAATTAATGAATCTTAACAGCTGTTTCAATTAAACAAGTTGGTTCTGTTCTATGATGTTCAATTGCATTAAAGTTACAATGATTACCAACAGGGTGCAGCACTATTATTCATTTTAATTTATGATGAAATAATTAGGGAATTTTAGAGAGGAGAGAATAGTTTTAGGCTTGATGTATAATGGAAAAGGATAGAGATTTACCTTGAATAGTTATATCTTTCTAATCTTGATTCTAGTCTTGAGCTTAATAGTGTTGAAGAAAGAGAAAATCCTTTATAACTTTTAAGATATACTTACATAATCTAGAGAAAATCACCATTAAATAAAAGTAAAAAGATTGAGGACAAAACTTAGATGTATTTCTTGACCATTTTTCACAATAATAATAATATCAAAACAATAATCACATGTAGTAAAATTGAAAAACCCAAAAACATGTGTTGGAGACAGACTAAAATAAAATAAACCATAGAATACTAAACATGCCGGGCCCCTTGAACCGCAGGTTCAATGAATTAATTTAACAAATGAGTACAGAAACAGCAATTAAAACAGAGAAAGTTAAAGCAACAAAAGGGGCGGAACTGTAATAAAATTTAGTCTTCAAGTACAGGCAGTGGGAAAACCTTGATTGCCGGTCTAGTGAAAAGTCCATTCTTCGTACGCACAGTCACAACTCTTGTAATGTTATCTGAACCAGGGTGTGTTTCAACAATTCTAGCCAGTGGCCAACACATTGGAGGTGTAAAGATGTCTTGAATCACAACAAGATGAAGGTAGTCTCCATCGATGCCATCTTTGGAATTTATTCATCGTATGAGGTGTAGGCCAGTATGCAGTAAGTATCCAGGTGTTGGTGTAGATAGGTCTGATGGATCTTCTGAAAGAGGAGTTACAAGACGAGGTTTCTGGATTGCTTCTTTGTAATAAGGTTGAGTTTTAAATTTCTCTTCTAGTGCAAATAATCTGGATTTAGCGATGTTACTTGAGTTGCCAAGAGGAGGGTGATTAGGTTTGAATGGCAGTCTAACACAGTATCTACCTGAGGGTTCTCTAGAATGTGTTTTTACAAAATGTTCTTCACTCAAAATTTCATCTTCGGTTTGTTTAGAGTATTTGGGAGGTCTTCTTGTTGCCAAAACCGTTGCAAAGCGGAATGAAGATCAAAATCAGAGACAGTTAACATAGTTGTGAGATGAGAAGAATCTTTGTTATTAGAATTAATCTCACATAGAGCATGTCCCATGAGAGTGTAACCAAACACTGTGTTCATGACAAATGGTAGGTTAGGTCCAAGTTGTCGTTTCTCTCCGGTGAAAATGATTGGAAATAAACCCCCACCTAGTAAAACGTCAACATGCCCAGGGCGGTGGAAGGTAGGGTCAGCTAGGGTATAGGGTTTCACTAGTTCCAATAGATTTGGATCAAGAGGAGATCTTGGCATGTCCGAGGTAATGTTATCCAAAATCAACATTGGATGATTTTCTGAAACTTTGTTCCCATTTAGTGTTTCGATGTCCACATAGCCCATTCCCTTTGGGGATGTAAGAGACTGATTGATTCCATTAACACGAAGACTTGACTTTTGACGTTTAATTCCCAACAGTTGGGCTGCTCTTTCTGTTATGAAATCACATTGACTGCACGAGTCGATTAGAGCTCTGAAGACATGAGCAACACCTTGCCTAGACACCAACTTTACCAATACAGTTGCTAATAAAACAGTGGTGTTCTTTTGAGGTCGAGAAAAATTTGTTGATACTCCAGCAAATTCATTTTGACTTTGAGATGAAGATGAACATGATACAGCATTTCTTGATGTGAGGTCTTTCGATGGTTCTAAATGTAACAGGGTGTGGTGATTTTTATGACATTTAAAACAATAGTTTTTCGATTTGCAGATACTGACTTTGTGATTTCCAAGACAAGAGAAACAACGTTGCTTGGATTTGATTAGTTCATACCTTTCTTGAGGAGATTTTTCTTTGAATAAAGTACAGGAATATACTTTGTGTCCAGGTTTAGAGCAAACGAAGCAAGGGAAATCACTGGAGCTTTGTGTTGATGCAAGGGTAAATGGTCTGGGATGAGTCATTTTATTTTTGCGGTTGAAGTTGGACAAAGGTGGGATATTTGAGTGAGGTTTGACCCATTTACTACTATTGGGTGAGTGCATGGACACATCTTCAGCATGTGCACAATGATTTGACAGAAAAGTTATTACCTCATTGACTGAGGGCAGAGATTCAGGGTCATTTCTTGAAGATTCATATTTATTTAACATGTTTGAGTCTAGTTTTCGTAAAAGCATTGATGCTAAGAGAGGATTGTTTTCCACTACATCACAGCCTAATGCTGTTAGAGCTTGGGAATTTTCATTAAAAGAGTTTAGCAAGTTTCTGAGATCCTTAGTAGAGGAAAAACTAACACTGGGCAAATCAATGATTTTATTGATGTGAAGAGATGAAAGCCTTCGCACAGAGTGGTAACGATCTCGCAACATGTTGTACGCGATGTACAACATGTATGTTGATGTATGATGTACATGTGATGAACATGTATGATGATGTATGTTGTAGTTTGCTTCAGAGATGGGTAGGGATTTGACCAGATTGAGTGCTTCACCAGATAAAGTACTAAGTAGATATTGAAATTTAGCCACATTTGAGAGAGATGAATTTGAATGAATTGTGGTATCAAAGAGGTTGATGAAGGCTATCCAAGTTTGAGAGTCACCATTAAAGTTTTTTAATTCTATTTTCGGTAAGCGCACCACAGACATGTTAGAGTGTTCCCGTTCATTGAGATGAGAGGTAATAGATTGATTGCCATCATTGACTTTACCTTCCAAAAGATAAGCATTTATTTTACTTTCTATGCTGATACAAAGTTCATTTATTTCCTCCTGTCGATCAGATCTTGTTCATCATAGTCACCAGGCAGAGTAGGCACGTCCAGTAATTTTCTAATGTGTTCATTAAATTCACAACGCTTTTCATTGACTTCACTTTTATAAGAATTAACCTTTTGTTGATCAACTAATTGAACATGATCATTTTCTGATATAGTGTCAATAAATGAAAGAATATTATTGAGACGAACTTTTATTAGTTTAGAAAATTTGACAAAGGTTTGATACTTCATTTTGTATATTAAAGGAATGTACTAATGAGCTGATTGGAAAAATGTGGTTGTAAAGGAAAAGATAGAAAGGGGTAGTAATATTGTTACTAAGGCAACAGAATCAAACATTCCAATTTTTCAGAGTACATTAGTAGATTTTTAAGATTTAATTTTAAATATCTTGATGAAATAACAAATAATAATGTACACTATTAGTAATTTTGAATATCCATATTCTTGATTCTTTCATCCGGCTCGAAGGACCAATGAAATGATTAGGGAATTTTAGAGAGGAGAGAATAGTTTTAGGCTTGATGTATGATGGAAAAGGATAGAGATTTACCTTGAATAGTTATATCTTTCTAATCTTGATTCTAGTCTTGAGCTTAATAGTGTTGAAGAAAGAGAAAATCCTTTATAACTTTTAAGATATACTTACATAATCTAGAGAAAATCACCATTAAATAAAAGTAAAAAGATTGAGGACAAAACTTAGATGTATTTCTTGACCATTTTTCACAATAATAATAATATCAAAACAATAATCACATGTAGTAAAATTGAAAAACCCAAAAACATGTGTTGGAGACAGACTAAAATAAAATAAACCATAGAATACTAAACATATGACAACAGCTAATTTGCAACCAAAAGGTGAGTGAGCGTAGCGAACGAACTTCAACCTGGAGACGAGTTAGCGTAGCGAACGAGCTAACCTGAAGGCAAGTGAGCGCAGCGAACGAGCTCCAACCTAAAGGTGAGTGAGCGTAGCGAACGAACTTCAACCAGGACGTGATTGAGCCATGCGAACGAGATCATCTTGAAAATTAAGAAGTTAAACGGGGCAAAGCCCGCGGGTACAGCTAGTTAAACCTAAAACTTAAACATTGGTCAATATAATAAGTCCATTTTCATAGACAGTCCAACTTAACTTGGTCACTTCCAGTTAGAAACCTTTGACTGAACCTGTACGATGCTTTTTTACTGAGACGATTAAGAGATGATGAAAAACATTTAGACATAAGAGACATGTTTGATGTATGTGTTGTATGTTAGATTTCTTTTATAACATAACATAGAACGTAGAACCAGAACATAGAGGTGACTTAGAAGTTAAGTAGATCATAGAGTTTTAGTAGCTAGTAGCTCTACCAAGAGACATAGTAGGCTTTAACCCGAGAGTTGGTAACTATAATAGCCAGGGAACGTATGATGCAATAACTATTCTAATGTAGCTTTCAAAGATTAAGTCAATTGTAGTTAAAAGAGTGGGAAAATACACTGGTTGGTTTCATAACCTACTTGTCAGTTCTGATGTAGTTACTCTAGATTACCAGATTAACATACCAGATACATTCCTCGGTGCCTAACGTAAGTAATTATATAACCACGAAACTAGACCCAATATTTACCAACGTAAGCATTATCTACCTGATGTTTACCAAAAACTAAAACTAAATTTTTGTTTCTTACCAGTCTCATGTGGCTAGATTTATTAAAATTCTTTACTTAAAAAGTTTAGGCTTCGCAAATGTTGAAAAAAGGGAAAATACGAGAAGTACATAAGTAAAATCTATTTTATACTAACTTTGTGTTTAAACACTTAGAAGTAAATACCGTTTTAGCTTCCTTTTTCGAGGAAAGCCTGTAGAAGGATCGTCCTTGTTGAGTCTCAGCCTTGTGATAAGGAGTGAAATTCTTTTCCTTCGTAAAGCATTGTCGTCTTCTTCGGAGTTGCGATACGCACTGAAAAAGGCAAAAGAACGAGTCATTTGAGTGTAAGTTTAACAGAAAAGATAACAGATAGAGCATACCAACAACAATAATATAAATGCGTACCTACCAATCTGAAGGGAAATGTGTACGGTACGAAACCAATTTTGGTGCTATGTCTACTTTTGAAGGGGATATGAGTTGTCTATCTACAATTTATGACAAACGTTGTCTACTGGACTTCTTCCACTGAGGTTATCCAATGAAGAAACTGTGATGTAAGATACCAATATTTGGAAGCCTTTACAGTAATTGATCATCTAGTTTTTTTTGTTGGATGACCTTTTGTCTTTGGTTTCATCACACGACTGATTGTTGATTTCTAACGTCTGATGTGATCTAATGTTCCAGATTAGTTATCCAGAGACCTGTGATTACAATAAGAGTCAGCCCTCGTCGACTGATGGCTGTTCACTGTACAGTGTATACATCACAATACATCACAACAATGGCCTGACAGTTTACTCGGCTATGTAAGCTTTACCAACAACAACGACCAAGCAATCACAGTGCTTACAACAACAATGTGCGTTACTTGATAGGGAGAGTAGTTGATTATTCAAATTATTTGGCAAACAACATTGAGCTGAGCTGTAGTTTGTGTTGTGTGGTAGGAAATGTTTCACGCAATAACACCGATTATACACCATTATTGCATTGCGTTATTCAGTAATTTACACCAATTCCAGTCTACTTCTAACATCTGGAATAGAATCAGATTTTTAGAGGATATAAATTTTTTTAAACTATATAATAATGCGAGTCAATAATTATCTTGCCTCATTGCTCGGTAATGTTGACGTTTAATGTTCAGCCATGTTGTTATGAAAAGGATTTTTTTTTTGTTAGTACCAATATCTATACAGGGTGATTGATATAATTGTGCCAGCCGTTTTATTCGAAAACTATAAGAGATATCAAAAAAAGTTAAACGGTAAGTGCCTTGGATTTTTTTATTTAAAAAATGATAGTCTAGTCAAAAAAAATATTTTAGCCGCCATTTTTCCAATATGGCCGCCAACTTTGATTTTTCTTATGGAACACCCTGTATTTTATGATGTATTCTGGTAGAAAAAGTAATTTTAAGACGATTTTATTCTTATGATTTTTTTCATAAACCTAACCGTTTCAAAGATAATGATGGTTTAAATTGCGAAATTTCGAATAGTTTTCGAATAAAACAGCTGGCATGCTTGCTTAGGCTTTATCGAAACTCTTTCTCATGCAGAAATTTCAAAACTTTAACCATTATTATCTTTGAAACGGTTAGGTTTATGAAAAAAATTATAAGAATAAAATCGTCTTAAAATAACTTTTTCTACCAGAATACATCATAAAATACAGGGTGTTCCATAAGAAAAATCAAAGTTGGCGGCCATATTGGAAAAATGGCGGCTAAAATAATTTTTTGGACTTGACCACAATTTTTTAATGAAAAAATCCAAGGCACTTACCATTTAACTTTTTTTGATATCTATTATAGTTTTCGAATAAAACGGCTGGCACACTTATATCAATCACCCTGTAGAGGTCTATCTATAGTTATTTATATTATGTGAAATGTAATTCATTCTCTTTTACTAGTGTAAAGTCATAAAACTCATCTATAATCTATAATCATCTATATAGTCCAGTAAATAGAGACAGAAATAGGGGTGTTAACTTACAAACGGTCCGGTAAGTCTAAATTTTTTATATGTTGTCTAGGATGTTAAGTAGGTGTTAAAACCGCAAAATGCACAATTCTACCCCCTCCGCGCCTGCCGCCATATTGAAAAATCGAAAAAATCGGTACTTTCTAGAGATTTTCGCCTATATCTTCGTTTTGGTGCGTTTTAGAGAAAAATATGTTATTGCAATGTTAGACAATTAAATTTTCTATAATATAAGTATAACAATTTGGTTATAAGACTTATGGATACGAAAATATTCAATTTATTTTACAATAAAACGTAATTATTTTTTGTTATCTTGCCAAATCTCTTTCTTTAGATCGCTGTAATTCAGTAATGAAATATTCTAGGATAACAAGTATCCCAATCACATGTATAGAGCATTTAATTACCTACAAAATGCTTCTATTCTTTAAGCCAACCGTTTGATGTGGTGCTGAAAAACAAACAAAACAAATTAAAAGAATGGGTCTATTTTTTCGTTTTTTTGACCTAAAAATTAACAAATTAACTTTCAGTTTTCGGTTTAATTTTCAGTTAATGAAACCATACTTACTGTGCTTACTACATGTAACAGTGCAATGCTCATGATGCAGGTACTATATTCCTCCCTTACAAATATGCACTGGTGAGAGGAGGTGTTAAATTTAAAACAACCCACCAACACAGCAAGTAAATTTTTAAAGATTCATTTATTTAAACAAAATAAGATCAAATACTGTAATAATAAACGTTTAATAAATAAGTAAACTAATGGCTAACAGAATTAAAATAAACTAAATAACTAACATATTAGAAAATTTATTACTGGAGCTTTGCTCGTTTAGTAGGCATCTTCATCTTATGGGGTTATGCATATTATTCCACACATGGCATGAAAAGTCCCTCGACCATCTAGAGTATTGACGTTTAAGTCGGCGTTATCAAAAACCAGTTGGCAGAAAGCATCGCCACGGTTGGGTTTCACCAGAGGTAGTTGTTGTTGCATGATGGTAGACAGTTGTAATTGTGCTTCGTGATAAGAGGAAGAAAATCCAAAAGATGACATTAAATCTACCAGAAGCTTTGAACCAAACTTTTTGTACATGAATACACTTAGTCCAGTCAGAAGGGGTGAGACACAAAGGACCTTGGTCTTGCAGCAGCTATGACAGCGTGCGATAAGGCCACACATTTCTTTTTCAATTTCTCCAGAGATATTTTCTTGTTCTTTGTTATAACGGGTGTGTTGATGTTCAGTTCTATCACCTAATAATTTTCTTTAGCCTTTCTTTATTTTCTTTAATATAAAAATATATAAAAATATACCCTAACTCAATTATTTATTATTCTATGGGTAACTAAAGACTGTTTCGTGTTTATAAAATTTTTTGTTATGTTGGCATAGCAACTTCCTAGTTGGAGAAAACAAATGTGCTTATGAGTTGTACAAGTTTATATGTGTTCAAGCCCTTGATGCAAGAAATTTTGCAAAATAACAGAAAGTTTGATTTGTTACAGTTAAAAAATTTGAATATTTAACCGTCCACAACATTGACATTACGTATTTATCTTATTTTGATCTTATTTTGTTTAAATAAATGAATCTTTAAAAATTACTTGCTGTGATGGTGGGTTGTTGTAAATTTAACACCTCCTCTCACCAGTGTATATTTGTAAGGGAGGAATATAGTACCTGCATCATGAGCATTGCACTGTAACATGTAGTAAGCACAGTAAGTATGGTTTCATTAACTGAAAATTAAACCGAAAACTGAAAGTTAATTTGTTAATTTTTAGGTCACAAAAACGAAAAAAAAGACCCATTCTTTTAATTTGTTTTGTTTGTTTTTCAGCCCCACATCAAACGGTTGGCTTAAAGAATAGAAGCATTTTGTAGGTAATTAAATGCTCTATACATGTGATTGGGATACTTGTTATCCTAGAATATTTCATTACTGAATTACAGCGATCTAAAGAAAGAGATTTGGCAAAATAAAATAAAAAAATACGTTTTTATTGTAAAATAATTTGAATATTTTCGTTTTCATAAGTCTTAGAACCAAATTGTTATACTTATATTATAGGAAATTTAATTGTCTACAACATTGCAACAACATATTTTTCGCTAAAACGCACCAAAACGGAGATATAGGCGAAAACCTCTAGAAAGTACAGATTTGTTCGATTTTTCAATATGGCGGCGGGCGCGGAGGGGGTGGAATTGTGCATTTTGCGGTTTTAACACCTACTTACCATCCTAGACAACATATAAAAAATTTAGACTTACCGGACCGTTTGTAAGTTAACATACCTCTATTCACTGGACTAATAATCCATAATCAAACAGACTGCCATCATATCGAGCTTATTAATCTGAAAGTTGAAATATGATTGCCAAACACGAAACCATGATTGCCAAAACCAACTTCTGAATACTTTTGTATCTAATAATAGATCATAAAGAACGTAGCCCTTTATTTTAGACCAGCATTTGAATGCAAAAACTTAAAAAAACTACTTTAGTATAAATTGTAAACATTATCACATATTAGTTGTAGTCAAAGTCGAAAGATACAAAATTTGACGTGAAAATCACAATGATTTAATAAATATTGGCACGTTAACATTTGCAATTGGAATTAAAACAATATATTTATCGTGAGTCCGCCAAACAGTTTGAAACAGAACCAATGACTTCTAAACCGGTCTATTGATTCACATAATGTCACAGCCAATGATTTAAACATAATCTTTTCCAACTAAGTTTACCTTAGTACAGTAACGACATTTTGCCATCCCAGCAAAACAAAACAAGTTTCATAAAACCGACATTTAAACAATACAATAATATTAGCTTTGCCAAAACCTTATAGCAGTAAGACTATTTATATTTCTCGTAAGCAGAAAGCCAGATTAGACAAGTAAGCTAGTTTACGAAAGCTGTAAAATAAGCCTATTAGTATAAGAGATGTATATTTTTAGACAAATGTTTGTAAATAAATATGATATATTTTACACAAGTTTTATTGTACCTATTTCTATATTTGTAACATGACTTATCGTCATAAGTAATCTTTATGAGTACGGTAGGTATATTCTCCTGCTTTAGGTGCAAACGAAAAATTGAACAGTAGCCTATTACAACAGCTGCTATGCTACTTAGTACAACTAAATGCTCAATGGTCCACTGTTCAGTAAGCCTAGATTTAAGAGCTTCCTTTGACAGATACTGGGTCCCGCGGTCGTATGTGATACTCTCCACTCTTGGTAAAGTACTTGACCCACGGCACCGCCTGGTAACCGCTCTTCTCCGTCACCTTAAGGTAACGAACACTTAGTCCGGAGATGCTGTATGCGGATATCTCAAATTTTACCTCTATTGGACGCGAAGTCTCCTTGTCCAGACTAGGGACACTAGGAAGGCCAAACTGCGCGATCATGAAGTACTCTTTACATCCTTCCAGGTTTTTGATAGACCACTTGATCACATTGCTCTCTGGGACGTAACTCACGGTTCCAACACCAAACTGAAACTTGGGCGAGTCAACGTCACCGGGGACTGGTATGAGTATGTGGACGAAGCTTGCTGAACGACGGTTCTTGAAGTGTGACGTCACCTTTACCGTGTACTCCACACGCTGTCTGGACAGTCGGGTCACACAGTCCACCCAGACCGGGGGCCTGACGTACGTATTGATGCGGTAGGACATCAGCTCAAACTCACCGTCAGGAGGAACGAAGGTTATAGTACGATCCTGATCGAACTTCGTCAGCCTAACACTTTGGTGGAACTTGAGTTCGTCCAGGTCCACGTATTTTCCGTTTTCAGTAGATTCCTTATCACGTAACAGCCTATCGTTGATTCCAAGGTGCAGTTCGGGCATTCCAGATAGTTTTGACGTTATTTTGATCGAACCATGTATTTCACTGGAGATCACAGCACCGTTGTACTTGGCTGTGAGGCAGACTGACTCCACGACGTCCAGGAACACCTCGTTCCTCTTGTACACGATACCGCCAGATCTCCACGACACAGCGTTGGTTACAGCGTCTGGGACGTTAGGTGTTCCTAGCTTCCTACTCTCCTGAGTTATGTACTCCTTTAGTATGTTGCTCTCGGTGATTTGTGGATAGCCAAAGTCCAGGATCTCGTCTAAGATCTCGTACAATAGTACGAAGTTGTCACGTATACTCTCTTCCCGAACGTCCCTGAAGTACTCTTTCATGACGTTGAGTGCTTTGTATAGGAACGTGAAGACGAGGGAGATGTTAGCGTTGCTGCTGACGGTGGCTACCACGTACACGTTGTTGGTCCTGACGTAGGCGAAAGTGATGTCTCCTACCTGTAGCACCGGTGCTGCCGACATCTCTCCCGTGGACATCACGGTGGGCATGAACATGTCTATCACATCAGACTCGTGGCTGTGGCGGTAGTTCCTGGATATCAGAGACTTGCCCAACAAGTCGACTATGTGTATTGCAGAAACAGACATGATAAAGACCACACAAAAATGGGAACACAAATAGTGACTAGACTTTTTTGTTGTTGTTTTCATTATCTGCTATAACAGCTGATTAAAGAAATGCATATAGAAAAAGAGTCCTATTTTGGGCGGGTCTGCCATTGATTATAGAACTCTATACTGTATAGCCAATCACTGTTTCGACAAGCCCAAAACAACAAATGGTAAGAATGTAAACTTGTAAAGCCTTAAAAGGGTTTACATTATACTATTGGCTTAGGTATAAGACTTCTCATCCTATCATAAAAATCTGGAGCCTATATTGATGCGTTCTTTTTGGGTAGACTAAAGAGTATTATTATTCAGGGTAAGATTTGAAGCGGATGTTCTACACTTTTGTTACGGTACATTATCAAACATCTAGTAAAATTCTGTAGATATTTACGATTTATTTATAACTTAAAGTTTAAGATACCTATTTGAAAAAAAAATATATAAAGCAAACAACAATAAAGATTTTCCGACAGAACCATTTTTAAAATCGATCTTCAACATTTTCAACATTTTTATCCTGACGGATTTCAAACGTACGTATGTTAATCTTTACTGATTAACATGAGGTACTCTTGTAAACTGTAGATAATAACACAAAATATCAGTCTAATTTTTAAAATTGTTTGTTAAGTTGCTTATCCTATATTATCCTATACTATAATACGAGCTAAGTCTGTTTGTGTGTTCGTCTTTAGTATAAATATCGAAATCCAGCGGATGGATTTTTACAAAATTTTAGAATTAGGGACATATAGCCCTAAAAACGTATTGGTGAATGCCACTACCTCAGAAAAATTGGTACTTCGCTAGACAACTCATTTGAAAATTAAAAACTTTAATATTGGCCTTATGGGCTGCTAAGTAATTATGTTGGTTGAACAAACTAACAAGGAAAAAGTAAACAAAATACTTGTAACAACAAGCCATCCACAGTTTACTAGCAAATTACAAAATACAGTACAAAGAGTAAAACATCAGTTGTGCAAAGATTTCACTAAAGATTACTCGACATTGGGGAAAAGTGTTTCGTATTGGTGACGTTTGAGTGCACTGGCGTCAACTCAAATGTTTCAGTTTTATTTAAGGGTAGGTTTTACAATTTTTATTCACTCATTTGTTGTTTGCATTATTTGGACAGCTGTATTCAGTTGAACTGGTATTCTTTTTTTTAGCTTTATTTTATTTTACAATCTGTTCAGTACAACTGTGAACAATTAGTAAAAGGCATAATATAAGTAAATGACTTGACCAAGAATCTCCCCAGTGAAAGATCTTGGAAAAATAAATAGTCATATCATGTAACTAAAACTATGCAAATCGGTATGGGAGTTCAAGAACTTTCACAATTTTTAGTCTGTTGGGAAATTCACTATTGTCCAGTAAGTTAACGGCTAAATTGTTCTGGTGGGTTTCGAGTTTTTCATGATATTTCTTGCTAATTCTTGTTATTTCTTCAATCACTGTAGGTATTTTTAAATCTTCATGGATTGTTTGATTCGAGACAAACCACGGAGCATCAACTATTCTTCGCAGCGCCTTTGACTCAAATCTTTGAATAATTGCTAAGTTGGATTTGCTTGCCGTTCCCCAAAGCTGTATCCCGTACGTCCAAATAGGTTTGATCATAACTTTGTAAAGTGTGAGTTTATTGGTCAACGAAAGCTTTGATGTTTTGCCTAGAAGCCAGTTGAGTTTACGAACCTTCAAGTCCATTTGTTGTCTTTTACACCAAATATGTGTTTTCCAGGTTAATCTTTTATCCATGTGGAATCCTAAATACTTAACGCTGTCCACTTCTGTCAACTCTATGTTGTTCAAAGTAACTGGAGGGCAGTTTTTTTTGTCTCAGCGTGAATGTAATATGTAAAGATTTTGTTTCATTAACTTTAGTTCTCCATTTTTTTAGCCACAGTTCGAAATCATTTAATGTAACTTGCAATTGATTTGAAGCATCTTGAGGATTTTCGTGAATGGAGAGAAATGCAGTATCATCCGCAAACGTAGCAACCGTAATATTTTGGCCCACGGGGATGTCGGAGGTATATAGTAAATATAAAACAGGTCCAAGAACACTGCCTTGGGGTACTCCAGATTGAATAGGCTTCAAGTCGGATAAAATTTCCTGAAATTTAATCTGGAAGAATCGTTTATTTAAGTAAGATTTTAACAAACTGTAAAAAGAATGGGGGAGCAAGGATTTAAGTTTATACAGAAGTCCAGTGTGCCACACTTTATCGAATGCCTGTTGTAAATCCAGAAATGCAGCAGAACAGTACTTTTTTGTTTCAAATGAATTTTTAATTATGTCTACTAGTCTGTGGGTTTGTTCAACTGTAGAGTGTCCTTTCCGAAAGCCAAACTGATGCTCAGGAATCAAATTTAAGTCTTCTATAATTGGGTTCAATCTTCTTAGGATTAGTTTTTCAAATAATTTGGATACAACAGGAAGCAAACTTATGGGTCTGTAGGACGAGACCTCATTTGGTGGTTTGCCTGGTTTTGGAATTACCACAAGTTGAGCTATCTTCAATTGAACTGGGAAATATTCTAGCCGTAATATAGCGTTAAATATGAAGGTTAGCAATAATATTCCTTTTCGTGGCAATTCTTTCAGAATCCTGCCAGTGATTAAATCGTATCCGGGACTTTTTTGGGTTTATTTTATTATTATTGAACAGGTATTCAAGTTCATTGTATTACAATAATCTTAACAGTAAGCAATATACGCTTAAATCGGACTTATTTGTCTTCAGATCCATCATATGATAGAGAGTATTTTATAGAGTATGCTCATGCTGGTTTTTCTTAGAAAAGAGAAAAAATAAAGATTTAATTTAGTACCAAGAAATAAATTACACCCCTCTTACAAAAATAATTGATTTTTCGTATTTTTTTGATACGCTGTAATATGCTGTATTAATGCAATTGTAGCAGATTCACAGGTATTAACCTGTGATCGCAGATTAAATCCTACTATAGGAACTGATATAAAAAATACTTCTTTTATTTTTAAAACCGTTGTTTTACTTATTTACAGTGTAAGACATTTGTAGATTAATAAATTAGTTTAAAATGAATTAATGTGTTGGATTGCCAAAGTTAAAATTTCCAACATACGCGAGTTTCCTTTGTTGCTGTTACAATCGAAATAAAAATACCGAAGCCATGGCTCGGTCACCCGCTACCGCTACTTAGACTGATTTACCATTACATTTTTGAGCATTTAGCAACATCATGTACTTACTTTAAGGTTATAATACCAAAGATCCAATGATGAAAGTTAGCTATTTTAATATTTTAGTAGTTTTTATGTTCTCAACAAGGAATTGTGTTACAATATTAATACTGTAGTACTGTAACAAATGCGGGCGATGTTACGGCAACTAATACAACGCCCCTTCATTAAAACCTCTGCAAGACGTCTTACTTCTGAGTATTCTGCGTAGTGTTTCTATATAGAGGGCACGTTGTTAAACCTATATATTTTTACTAAAGCTCTAAAATATATTCTTAGCAAATTTTCATTTGGGCATAGGCTATTAAAATAGGCAGCACGATATGACCTAGAGAAGAGCTAAAAAACAAACAATCTTGTACATTGAAGCGTTGTTCGAAAGGTTTAAAAGTTCAAAGGTCCTTCGTAGGAAATACAAAAAACTGTACACTTAAAATTCTCATTATATACTTATGGAGAAAACCGAAAAAGTATATCATATTAAGTTCATAACTGTTGTAGTTGGCTTGTTTTTAAATATGTTCATAGAATTTGGCAACTTAATTAGTTTTTTCCTGTATTATTAACATTTGATCAAAACATTTTCTCGTTCCCCGTTGCAGTGAACCTAAATACTGAACTCATGAAATCAAATATTTATAAGTATAAAATAAATAGGTATGCTTTTTATACAAATATTTTATAAACAAATTATTGGATTGGAAATATTTTAGTCTGCAGGTTTGCTGCGGCAGGGGTTAAGCCTTTTAATTAAGATACTGTACTAAAAACTCCTTAACTTTTCGTTTATGGTAAAAAAAATTAACAATGCGCATGGCACAACTGAACTTGTGTCCCAAGGGGTTAAACACTACTTTATTATTGACCAAAGACTATTCTTATGTTCGCTTCCGGGTGTAGTGCATTTGGTTGTCTTCAATTACTATTTTTAACACATATTTTTTTAAATATTGTTTGTGTTCAGGATTAATGTCAATAATTTACTACACCTCTTTAAAAAAAACCCTTCTAGAGAGAAATATTTATTCAACATATTTGGACTTAGATTGATTAGATACTACATAAACATCAAAACATGCTTACACATCTTTAACTGTAGTCAAATTATTACGGTACATAGGTTTGAGAATTTTGTTTTGATACTCCACTTACTGTATATAAATTAAAATTTAAATGATAATTCATTATAAAGCTACTGAATGTGGGATTAATTTTACAGTGTAGCTAAAAACCCCAACAACAAACCTCTTTAGTTTATTATTTGGCTCATTCTGTTCGACTTGAGATTCGCCAAGTTGAAAACCATGGGCAGCAAACTGTTATCCTAGTAAGCCTTTGTCCTATTGGCCTTCCCAGGTCTCTGATGATAATGTGCAATGCTGGTTTAGAAACACGCCTTTTGATTAATGAACTTAACTGTAGACTAGGAGAATTAGGAAAATTTTGGGTCAAAATATTATTGGCCAAATACTTGTCTTTTGACTTTTGGGTTCCAAAAGTCACCTAATAATTCTCCTCTTCTACAGGTAAGTTCTTTAATCAACAGGCGTGTTCCAACAAACTGCATTACATTATTTTTACGATTAGTACCGGGGGACCGAGCCTTGCTCGGTTGTGGTTAATTGGGTTAAATAGTCGAAACAATATTATAAAAATAAATGTTTTCTATATAATTTACAAATAAACCAAATTTACCATAAACTATATATTTTTAATCGTGCAAATAAGTTCAACTCTGTAATGTAAAATTATGCCATAAAATGAAATCGAG